ATTGAGATATTTATGGAAATGATGAGAGTTCATTTATTATGATTTGAATATTTATGGAAGATGAATATGGTTCATTAATTATGATCGATACTTTATTTTAGGAAACAATTAAAACTTCTATGAAAAATCACATATTAATCAAATGAAATGGACGGTTGAGATTGAGTTGTGTTGGTTGCACAAATGTAAAGGGTTATATAATAACCAACTTTTATATATATATATATATATATACAATTATTGTGAACGGAGTTTAAATTCGTTTTTTTATAATATATTGTAATCATAAAATATCAAAATATTATTCGAATTTATATGATTCAATCGTAAACACAATCATGTCCGACGATAACAACAAATTCAACAATATTGAAAAGAAAAAATATGTAATAACAAATCACATTTTGTAAATAATATAATTTTTACATACCTTTTAAAWTYTTTTAAGTTTTCTTCAACTCTTATTTYTTCATTACTYACCAAAGGATTTCTGTCAATTGAAAAAATCTTGAAGTAGTCAAAATTTAACGTAATTATCAATCACGTATAAATAATTATTGTTAATGAAGCTTAAATTCGAAAAAAGTTTATTTGAATTTATATGATCAAATCGTAAACACAATCATATCATATGATAACAACAAATCCAACAATATTGAAAAAGAAATATGTAATAACAAAACACATTTTTTAATGAATATATAATTTCTACATACCTTTTAAAATCTTTGAATTCTTCTTCAACTTTCATTTTATTCATCCCTCACCAAAAGATTTTTTAAGATTTCATTTTGTTTATTTTTGAAACTTTTTCATTGCTTTGCGAAAAGAAATTCGATTTTTTAATTGGCCGGCTATAAATTCTGCAAGAATATTAAGGTTTCCATAAAGCTTTTCAATTCGTGTGATAGCAATGTTAAGTTTTCTATTTACAAAATTAAATTCTTTTTATAAATTCATCTCTAATTCTTTGATTCCTCAAAGTCGTCTTTCAATTAATATTTTTGGAAATCCCATATAGAGTAATGATTATTCCCAAAAGGAATTGAAGAAGCTTTCAATATACATCAACACCAACCTGCTGGCATCCATCCATCCATCCAGAATAGTACCATCCCTTCATTATTATATTACACACCAATCACATAACCTCATATATATATATATATATATATATCTATACTATATTATAAAGCATTTGGCTAAAACTCTTAAAAACTCTTAAACTCTTAAAACTCTTAAACTCTTAAACCCGTTCATCCC